CCCCACCCCCACATGGCCACTTCATCTCCTCCCTACAGCAGTGGGGCTTCATAGACGTGATCTCATCCAGTAGTTGGGACCCCTGGGAGGTGGACTGGGATACAAGGGCGGGTGAGTGGCCAATGCTACCTCTCCTCATGTATCAACCAACTAGGAGAAACCAAGGCCAGTCCTGGTCAGGTAGAGAAGCCCATGCATCTGCTCAGCAGGCCTACAGCCCTGTTCTTTAAGAAGTGTGACCAGTATGAGGAGTTCAGGGGAGCCATGAATTCTGGCCTGGAAAGTCTGGGAAGAACTGGTCTTCCTGCAAGTATCCTTCCAGGCCCCGAGGGCAATGGGCCTGGGGCCATCCCCTGTACGACCTCTGGCCAGGAGGGGGCTGGGGCCTTAACACCCCCACCCCCTGGCCTTGCCCAATCTATAACTCAGGATCCCACAGGGACATGGCCTGGCCTGTCTGCATCCAGAACCTGTGATCCCCTCTGCTCTCTTGCCAAATGCAGTTAATGGCTTCTCCTAGCTACTGAACCGGCAGCTGCCTCCAGTGCGCTGGCGGTCTCTGCTCCTCCGGGGCCACCCCCGCCTGCCGGCAGTGTCCTGGCCGCCTCCCTGTGTGCACTCTACTCTCTCCATGCTTGCTTGTGTTACTGCTGGCAGGGGAGCCTGTGGGCTCAGGTTTCTAGCTAGTGAGTAGCCCTCCCTGCTGTTTGTAGAAGGCACCCGGATCTGTACAGACTGCTCTGGCAGCCATCCACCCCAGGCTAGCCTTATTCTTGCCTCCGAACAGGACCTCTGGCCAGACTCAGACTAATCCTTCAGGTCTAGCCCCATCCCACAGAGGCTGCCCAACCTAGGGACTCACTCACCAGTGATGACTGGGCATGTACGTCTCTGTGAGTACTGTGTACTTGGTAGACAGACCTTTAGTACCATCTCCTGATCTTGTTGACCTGATGGTTTTAAGAGCCACTTTGCAACAGAGTGCCCAAGCCCACAGCGGGGTGCCTTTGGAGGAAGATGAAATAGGAGCATGTAGAGGAAGCTGTGGTCTCTCCTAGGGGTTAGAGTTGGTCCTGGCTTTGGCTGGCATGTTAAGGGTAGGTTATTTCAGATCTGTATTTTCTTGCTAGGGCTAGGGAACAACTGGAGAGCAGGTCTGGAGTGCAACAAGGGCAGAGTTTTGAAAGGCAAGGAATGCTGGTTACAGTGAGCTGTTAGAGGCCCAGAACAAGTACCCTTTTGAGGAGGCTGGCTATGCAGGGCCAGGACTGACTTGCTCGGACAGGAATCACTCAGCAACCTTATATATTTGGACAGTGCCTAGATATAGGGAAAATTGTCCATATTGAGGTTTTGGAGATGTCTAAAGTTTGGGGGGCTCAGCTTGTGTGGTGCTCTGGACCCACCTCCCTACTTAAAGCACCAACTGAACTTGACTTAGTGAGAGTCAGAAAGACCTTTGCCTTTAGCCTTTAGAGATAAACCCCCAGCCTGTGCCCAACTCCAGTACCTGTGGGAACGTCTGGGGTCCTCTGCTTACAGAAGAACTAGGGAGAACACTATTTGATTCTGAGTAGCCCCAGGAGAGGAGCAAGCAACCTGGGCCTCAGACAGCTATTTTCCTTCTGTGCTGTGTCTTCCACAAGTCCTAAAGACTCTGCCTCTCTGTCCTCCTACTAGAGAGGTGCAAGCAATAGTAAGCTCCTTAGGTGTCTGCAGCTCGGGTGGGCTCAGCATGGTAGAGGGCATGGAGGACCAGAAGCAGTCTGGTAAGGAGATGGTAGGTTTGGAGGTGGTACCTGCCTGGTCAACCTCTGCTGGGTCTCAGTGGTTTGGCCTCAGAAAGGAAGAGACTGTACTGTCTCCGTTGGTCTGTTAAACAGGCTTCTAGTGTCAGAGTCTAGCATCCCATCTGGAACCTTCTGTTGGGGTCAGTGTGGCATGTGAGGCCAGGCCAGCTGGCTAGTCCTTTGCACTTGGAGAGATAAGACACCCCATGAGGGGGAGGTGGCAGCACAGGAAGGCCATGAGCTCTGAGACAAGAGGGTGGTTGGTGCAGGGGGAGCTGAGCAACAGTGAACACTACCCGCATTGTAATCCGAGAGGGGCCGGGGAAGAGAGAGACTGAGCGAGGCGGCTGACCCCATGCTCCCGGGGGACAGGTGGGAGAGGCAGAACGAGGAGAGAGTGAAGGATTCCAGAGGTGGGCCGGCTTCCTCTCTTGCAGACAGACACGGGAGGGAGGTGGGCAGCGGGCCAGCCCCATACCTGCAGTTCCAATCTGCGGTCCTGACAGCTGCAGCCACTTTGGGGAGGGGGAGGGGAGGGGGCTCATCGAGAGCGGAAAAGTCCCAGCCGACACTGTGTCCGGTGCAGTGGGGGAAGGAGATGGGATAGGATGGAGGGATGGATGTGGACCTACCCACCTCATCACACAGGCTTTTTCTAGGGGCTAGGTACCCCCGCAAATTATGGCACTTGGTTCTGTTTGTCCTCCACCAGCCTGGCCTGGGGTCTCAGTGCTGGGTCTGACCCAAAGGGGTCACATGTGTTTCCTGGCAGCCTGCAGGTGCTGAGCAGGGCGGGGGTGGCTGGCCTGGGGTGCAGGCAGGCCTGGTGATGAATCATGTGGTGCCGCCAGCAGCTCATTCCCCAGGCTGGGGACAGGGAGCTGACAGCTGAGGCTGAGCCGAATGTTTCCAGCCCAGCTCAGCTCGCAAGGGTGGCTGCTGGCCCATGGTTCGGGCCAGCCTCCCCCCCTTCAGCTGCCTCTGTGGGGCACACACTAAGGGAGCCCCTGGTTTTTGTCCCACAGCTCCTCAGTGTGGTGGAGGGTGAAGTTGCCCTCTGGGAAGGATGCCAGGGCCTGTGGTGGGTAGGGAGCACCTGCCACTCTTTGGCCATAAGCTGTTGTGGACTCACGTGGAGCAACAGGATGGGAATGGACCGTGCCACCCCCGGTCTGGTTTGAATCTGGAGCAGTGGAGGGTGACGGAGTGTTCTTCCCGCCCCTCCCCTCCTCCTGCTGACTGTCGGGCCAAGCCCTCAGCCACTGCTACCGGTGCAGCTCAGGGAGTGGCTGGGCCGTTTGCCCGGGCCTGAGGCTGGCCAAGCTGCAGCCGCTTTCAGAGTCAGGCCCTGCAGTGGAGGCCTTGGCCGGGCGCGTGCCGCACCCCAACTCTCCGTCTCTGGAGAGCCTTCCGGCCCCACAGCTCATTCACTTTCATCTGACCCCTCTTGACACCCAAGCCTCCAGCTCTTGTCTGGTTGACTCTGGCCTACCATTCAGTCTTGCTGAAGCTCAAGCTTGCCAGCTCTTGGGCTTCCCTGCTTTCTTCTGCTTTGCCCTAATCACTCAGTTGGCTCTTTCCTCTTCCACTGGGTTCTAGGTCATGAGATGCCTACTGGAGCTAGCTGGACATCATTTGGGCCTCTGTGTGGCCCCATAGTCCCCAGCCATGCTTGCTACTCAGATTGGCAGCCTCTACATATGGACAAATGTTCCTATCCTTATTCTCCAGTTTGCTCTTTGGGTACTTTCTCTCAGAGCCTTTGTATGCATGCTCCTCTGGTTTCTTCCTGACACTGGCCCAGCCACTCTGACCACAGAAGTAGGTACCCACTTAGTCATTGTCCTCTTGGGGTTTGTGTGGGAGATTGGCACCTAGGTATTGAAATGTGAGACCTATAGGTGAGGGGCAAGAGACCCGTGTCTAGCAGAGGAGGAAGGTCAGCAAGGGTCCTTGGTGGTGGTTGGTGCCCATTTGCCAAATGCAGGTGCACCCTGCCAGGTTGTGACTCTGGTCTCAACCCAGTGTCTGTCACGGGGTGCTTGTAGCTTGGAAGTTACGCTGGTCAGAGCCTTGCATGAGGAATACATGAGAAGAGAAAGTGGCTTCTCTCAGCCCCAGCTGCACCTCCAGGTTGTAGCTTCCTGGACTGCAGGAGCCTCTGCAGTGACTGAGTGTGCCCTGTCTCCCTCCCTCTGAGCAGCTGTGGGCTCCTACAGGATTAAGGAGAGGAAATTTGGGGTTGGGTTTCTTTCTGAACAAAACCTGCCGCTGTGACTCTCTACCCTGTTATAGTTCTGTCAGATTGGACACAGCCCCTACCCCTGCCTTAATGGCTCTGGCTTTGAGAATATCCTCCAAAATTACACCACTGTTTCCTGCACCAGCATTCCCTGAAGCCCTTCAGTGCAGAGGAGGGGCCATGCTGGTCCTGCCCTATAAGGATGCCCACATAGGCCTTAACACCTGGTCTCCCCCCCAGCCAGGGACCAGGAGGCCTGCCAGTACCAGCACCTGGTGCCCTCTGCCTTTCCTTACCCACCACCCAGCCAGAAGTCAGGCCTGGCCTTTCTTCTGCTGTACCACTCAACTAATTGTCACCTGCACGATTTTAATGACCAGCCAGCTGTGCACAGTGCCTGGCGAGGGTCTAAATCAACCTCAGAGGGATCTTTGGGAGAGTTGGATAGGGCAGAGTGTTGGATGGCTAGCAGTCTTTCCAGTGTGCAGCTGGAAGCAGAGCAGAAGCCCTCGCAGTCTCTTTGGGCCTAGGTGGGTATCAGTGGGGACATTTGGGTAGCTACTACTCAGATGGTGTCCTAAGGCCCATATAGGCCTGGCAGCCTGCTTGGCTGGACAGCACCGCTCACATACTCCCTAACCCACTTTTAATGGAGCACTGCTGGGAGACAAGTGCCCATGAGGCCGACCCCGTCCAGTCCCCCTCACCATGTTCCTTGGGAGGAGGCAAGGCTGCTGTGTTGCTTGCTGCCTCTTATGCCCTCTCCTCTTTCCTTCTGTTTTACCTCTCCACCCTCTCTTTCCTGCCCTGTCCCTTTAGCCCTGCTCCCACATCACAGATCCCTGGTACAGAGTTCTTGATAGGTGATCTAAACCTGTCATCGCTCTGCCTCACTCTGGGAAGATGGGGTGAGAAAGCTAGGGTCATAGTGAGTTCAGATCCTTTCAAGAGGGCAGTCTGCCTCAATTTGGAAGATACTGTTTCATTTTTAATTATACAAAAATTTTCAGACTTTATATTATCATATTAAAGACACAAGATGCCAACACTTGGCCCAGGTAGGGAGTCAGCATGGAAAGTTCCAGTGGGCCTGGGAAGTGTTGGGCTACTTAGAGTCAAGCCATAGCCCGCCTGTCCATCTGTCTGTTCATAGGCCCTGCTCATAGCTGGGGCAGGTCTGGCCAGGTGAGCGTGCTCCTGGGGACCTGTGCTCAGATCAGGTCCGAGGTGGGGCTTTCGGTGACTCTTCAGTGGCATCCACCTTCACTAGGCATCACCTCTTGGCTGCTGTGGACCCTCCTCCTTCTAACTTCGAATCGCCGCCTTTCTGTCACGGTCTTTGCTCTGCAGAGGGGATGGGGGTGTGTCAGGGCCTGGGTGGAGACCTAGTATCACCCAACACTGCCCGGGCCTTCCTGGCTTCCTGTTGGGCACTGTCTCAGGTGGCCAGTGCTAGGGCACCCCAGTCCCAAGCTCCTGCCCCTCCCCAGTGCATTTTGGGGCGGGGAGTACACTGCTGCACAGCCGAACCTGTAAAATTAAATTTCCCAGATGTTCAGGCCCCAGGAGCTCGCGCGTGCTGTCTGGAGAGGAAATGGGGATTGGGGAAAGCCGTTGTATTTTTTCCCTGCTCACCCTGCTTTTCCGGTGCCACCAAGTGCGGGCCAGAGCAGTAAATCTTGGCTGGCCAGCATCTCAGTTCAAGCCTTCTCCCCTAGCCCATCCACTGCAGGTCTCGACAGACCAGGGGGAGGGACAGCAGGTGCCCCATGCTTTGGGGTGGAGGTGGGCTGCAGAGGTGACGGGTAGTGGCACATAGACCCCTGGGGGTTCCCCTCTGATTGCCTTACTGCTGCGCACTATTCCCCTTTGGATGGGGGCGGCTTCTGAATATGCTTCTTACTTCCCGAATTCAGCTCCTTTCAGTTCTTAACTTGCTGGGAAGTAAAGCCTGGAATAGCCCCCTCATCCCTGCCAGGATGAGTTCCTCTTGCCCTCCCTCCCTTCAGACCTTCTCCTGGGTGGCCCTTCATAGTGTTACTTTAGCGTTACTTTTTGATCCTATATTTGCAGGTCCTTAAGACCAATGGTGTGGCTCCTATGTGCCTTTCCCTCCTTTGGGCCCAGCTTTGGTGGCAGGTGTAGGTACTAGGGAATGCTGCCCCTGCCTGACACCGCTCTGCCCGGCAGGTGTGGGCTGATGAGTAAATTGGGACCCCTCCGTGCTCCCGGCCCTGCTCACCAACTTTCTCTGGTTGCTGAGGCAGAAGGTGCAGATCTGTTTGGGCTGGGTATTCTCGCCTCCGTCTCGGGCCAGAGGTGGTGGTTGTGGTGGCGGTGGCAGGGGACTGCCCGCACGACCGCTGTGGAAGAAAGCGGGTCCCGAGTGGCATGGTTGCCCGTCGCCGCAGGCCTCACCCACCAGCAGCACGTTGCCCAGGTGAGAAATGTAGCTGGAAGCCAGGCGCAGCGTCTCAATCTTGGAGAGCTTGCGATCTGCTGGCTCGGTGGGGATGAGTGTGCGCAGCGCGGTGAAGGCCGTGTTCACGCTGTTGGTGCGGTCCCGCTCGCGCGCATTCGCTGTGTGCCGCTGCCGGGGCTCGCGGCCTGGCCGCCCCCCGGGTCCCGGCCCGCTTCCCGCGGCCCTCCGTCCTCCTGCCCGCCGCCGGGCGCCCTGGAGGCCACAGCGTGCTGCATGCACACGGCAGGGTTTTTCGTCGGAGCCCGAACTCTCGCTTCCTCGGTCCTCATCCTCCGACAGCGGGCTCACCTCAGGGTACAGGTAGCGGCCCGGAGGCGCTGAGCGCAGCATGGCGAAGGACATGGGCCGGGCAGGGGGCGCGGCGTCAGCTCCACGGTGCGCTGCTCATGCCGCCTCTTTAGGCCCCCACAGGCCGCCGGGCCAGGGGTCTCCGCTGCGCCCCGCGGTGGCGGCTGCCGGGCGACGCGGGCACATGTGTTCAGACTGGAGTGGGGCCGCCAGCAGAGCAGTGCCTTTATAGTAGTCGGCTCCTCCCCCGCGCCTGGCCTCCGCCTCCCTCCCTGGCCTGGAGGAGTTTATGCGGAGCCTGTGCACCTTTTTTCCTTTTTAATAGTCGTGCCTAGGGGGTCCTGAGCATCTTTCTAGTTGGGGAGTTTCTGGAGTGCTACTGATGTCCCAAGACCTTGGTGCCCATTCTACCCATTCTGCAGGAAGAAAGAGGATAAATCAGGAATCAAGAGGCTTTCTCCCCTGGCATGCCTAAGTTCACCCAGCTGCCCTGGCCCCGAGTGCTTGGCCACACCCTGTCTGACTCTCCTTCCATGTGCACTTGGGTCTTTTGTTGTGCCAGACCGTGTGTGTGTGTGTTGGGGGGTGACTCCAATAGTGGCATTCTAGAGATGGGCGTGTAGGTTTTGAACCACCTGACTGTATGACCTGTGCCATGTGCCAGAAACTTACCACTTTGACCCCTCCTGCCTAGTGAGACCCCACCTCCATCCCTGCTGTGTGCTCCATGGGGCTCCTCAATTCCAGTGCACACGTGGATCTTTAAGATCGGCACTTCCCAATCCCTCCCTCCGATTTGGAAGTGGCCCCCTAGGTGGAGAGCACACTTTATACAGGGTATTTTGAGGGATGAACTTGTTGGAAAGGGCTGGTATGGACAGGTGCAATGGGACAGGGCCCAAGGGGTCTTGCTGAGGGGCTGCTGGCACTCAGCTGTGCTAGTTATGTCTGGGCCCCTCCTCCCTGTGGCTACTGTTGCAGGAAGTGGCCGCCTGGGCAGCAGTCCCCAGGCTGGGAGGAGTGAGGGTGGTGGCTGGCAGGGGCTGAAACCAGGAATGTGTGTCCAGGAATGTGGTTGCTCTGCCCACTGAAGTGGGAGGGGAAAGAGCAGTAGAGCTAGGAGGGGGTCCTTGGTCACCTGCACGCAAAGCAGAGGTTTGTCTCCCCATGGGTGGGGTGGGGTCTTCCCATGGTTCCTGCCTGTAACTACCCACTTCTGCCTAAGGCCTCTGCCAGGGGAGGGAGCCCATAGGCGATGAGGTCATCCCCGTCTGTGGCTGCCCAGAGCCCTGGCCAAGGAATCCAATAAGGGGGGAGGCTAGGGTTGGCATCACTTCAGTGGAAAATGTGAAGGTAAAGCTCTGGCGCCTCAGAGAGCTTGGGGGAAGGGGGCATAGCACCCCTGCTGTGCCACGTCAGACCCTGGGGCCAGGGCTAGGGCAGATTTTGGGTCACCTGGCCTCTAGGCACTTGAGGCTGGTCTAGGGCGGCTCTTTTGTCCTTGGGTTGCTTGAAGAGGATCAGGTACGGTAGGGACAGGTGCTGACGTGGTAACTGTGCTACAGGACATTCGGAACACTGTGGGCAATGTGCCCCTGGCATGGTATGATGACTTCCCACACGTGGGTTATGACCTGGATGGCAAACGTATCTACAAGCCCCTGAGGACACGAGATGAGCTGGACCAGTTTCTAGACAAAATGGATGACCCAGATTTCTGGTGAGTTGGACCTTGGGTCAGAACCTGTGTGGTTCCTCAGGCCTGAAGTATGGCTCTGACTGGCTTTCTCTCAGGCGCACTGTACAGGACAAGATGACAGGGCGTGACCTGCGGCTGACTGATGAGCAGGTGGCCCTGGTACACCGGCTTCAAAGAGGCCAGTTTGGAGATGTGAGCTTCAACCCCTATGAGGTAGGTAACAACTGGCCCTAGGGTCTGAAGTACATGCAGCTTCCCACCTTAACACTATGCTTGTCTTCCAGCCATCTGTGGATTTCTTCAGTGGTGACGTCATGATCCACCCCGTGACCAACCGCCCAGCTGACAAGCGTAGCTTCATTCCATCCCTAATTGAGAAGGAGAAGGTGGGAACCCCGTCACTCTTCTCTACCCCACCTTGTAAGGTTCCCATGCTGCTACTTGACCTTAGCTTTGTGTGCAGGTGTCTCGCATGGTGCATGCCATCAAGATGGGTTGGATCAAGCCTCGACGGCCCCAAGACTCCACCCCTAGATTCTATGACCTGTGGGCCCAGGAGGATCCGAATGCTGTGTTGGGGCGCCACAAGATGCATGTGCCTGCACCCAAGCTGGCCTTGCCTGGCCATGCTGAGTCTTACAACCCACCTCCTGAGTACCTGCCCACTGAGGAGGAGGTGGGCCAGCATTGAGATGGGTATGGTCCCCAGCCATGTTCCCTGAGCAATTCTCATCCGTCTCCTCTCTCCCCAGCGCTTGGCATGGATGCACCAGGAACCTTGTGAGAGAAAGCTTAACTTCCTGCCACAGAAGTTTTCCAGCCTGAGGACAGTGCCTGCTTATGGCCGCTTCATCCAGGAGCGATTTGAGCGCTGCCTTGACTTATATCTGTGCCCACGGCAACGCAAGATGAGGGTATGTGCGGCAGCTGCATGGGTCCTGGGGAAGTGTAGGATGGGGTGGTGAGCAAGTGCTCTCTTGCCCCAGGTGAATGTGGATCCTGAAGACCTCATCCCTAAGCTCCCTCGGCCAAGAGACCTTCAACCTTTCCCTGTCTGCCAGGCCCTTGTAAGTGGGGAATCAGAGGTGGGCAGATGTCCCCGGGTGTGTGTGTGTGTGTCTGTCTTCATTCTTCCTTCTCTGTAGGTCTACAAGGGCCACAGTGACCTTGTCCGCTGCCTCAGTGTCTCCCCAGGGGGCCAGTGGCTAGCTTCAGGTGGGCCTGAGGTGGGGGCTGCCCTGAGCTGGGAGGCAGGGATCTGGGTTAGAGGCTCAGGTGCTGAGAGCCTTCACTACCACATCCAGGTTCGGACGATGGCTCAGTGAGGCTCTGGGAGGTGGCTACTGCCCGCTGTATGAGGACTGTGCCTGTTGGGGGTGTGGTACGAAGCATTGCCTGGAACCCCAATCCTACCATATGCCTAGTAGCTGCAGCCATGTGAGTTTAGGGTGATAGGGGTAGGGTTGGGAAGGGTTACAGAAAAACGGGGACTGACTATGCTGAGGAGGGGTTATGTCTGCCCCTGTTTGTAGGGATGATGCAGTGCTGCTTCTGAACCCAGCCCTGGGAGACCGGCTCTTGGTGGGTAGCACAGACCAGCTGCTGGATGCCTTCACTCCACCTGAAGAGCCAACGTTGCAGCCAGCCCGCTGGCTAGAGGCCTCAGAGGAAGAACGCCAGGGGGGCCTGCGACTGCGTATCTGCCACAGCAAAGTACGTGATGGGAAGGGGATGGGAACATGCCAGACCTGGTCAGACAATCAGCCGGCATTGTTCTTCTCTAGCCAGTGACGCAGGTGACCTGGCATGGGCGAGGGGACTACCTGGCTGTGGTGCTGTCTAGTTCAGGACACACTCAGGTGCTGATCCACCAGCTGAGCAGGAGGCGCAGCCAGAGCCCATTCCGCCGCAGCCACGGACAGGTGCAGTGTGTTGCTTTCCACCCCACCCGGCCCTTCCTGCTTGTGGCCTCTCAGCGCAGTGTCCGCATTTACCACCTGCTGCGCCAGGAGCTTACGAAGAAGCTGATGCCCAACTGCAAGTGGGTGTCTAGCCTAGCTGTGCACCCAGCAGGTGAGGGGAACATGTTTTCTTCAAGACGGTCAGGGAATGAACCCTCTAAGTCTTGTGAGAAATACTGTCATTGCTCTGGCCCTAGGTGACAACATCATCTGTGGCAGCTATGACAGCAAACTGGTGTGGTTTGACCTGGATCTTTCCACGAAGCCATACAAAGTGCTGAGGTAAGATGGGTTGGGGTGAGGTAGGTGGGTAGAGGGGCCCCTTCAGCTGAAGCCCATTGTCAATGCACACTTCCGCAGGCATCACAAGAAGGCTTTGCGGGCTGTGGCATTCCACCCCCGATACCCACTCTTTGCATCTGGCTCAGACGATGGCAGTGTTATTGTCTGCCATGGCATGGTGTACAAGTGAGTGCTAACCCTTGCCCAGCCCTTCCCATGGGACCATCCCACTGGGTCCTGAATCCCTCTCTTCCACAGTGACCTGCTGCAGAACCCACTGCTGGTACCTGTCAAGGTGCTTAAGGGGCACACACTGACCCGAGATCTGGGTGTTCTGGATGTGGCCTTCCACCCCACACAGCCATGGATCTTCTCCTCTGGGGCAGATGGCACCATCCGACTCTTCAGCTAGGCTGATGCACTACTGGGGGTGGCCTGGAACTGGGTGGATGTGCCTACACACAGAATCAATACAATCCTTGATCCCCATTGTTCTGCCTTCTTATTTGGTTTCCCCACCCCCACTCTGAGAGCTGCTCAGGCTTGACTTTACATGGTACCCCAGACCAGGGGACCTCAGGATTCCCTTCTAGCTTAAGCAGAGGGAAAGGTGGTATTGATACGCTTGTCACCTATTGAGGTGTAAGTGGCTTTATTGGGCAATAAATAGCGCACCGCAGTCTTGGCCCCGTGTGTGATGGCAGCAGAGTCCTCTAGGCAGGATAAGCTGGCCTTTTTTTTGTTTTGTTTTTTTTGCTTGCAGGAGTTGAATCAGCTTCAGGCAAACTTCACCAGGCGGCCCAGTGTCTCAGCAGCTTTCTCCCGCACCCCAGGCACTGGGTCCTTCAGGAGGAGCTGCAGGGCTGTGGGCAGAGGAACAGGCCAGTTGTGCACATGCCTGGGCCTGTGCGTGGGGCCGCCCACTGCCTTCCTAACAGACGGGCCTCTGCTGGGAGGGCTCGGGAGCCAACGGAAAGATAGTTTTTCCTTTTTTAGTGTTTTTTAAGCTCTTTTGGAACAGTTAAGAAGTTTCCGTGAATTACTAGAGACGATGAGGTCACCAGTGACAGGGGAAAAAAAAATCCTGAAATCCAGGAAAATCACTTAGTCCCTGCGGGTGCCTACAGGGTCAGCAAAGCCCCAAACAGAGATGGGAAGGTTGGGATGCAGTAGAGGGCCATGTGTTCTGGATTTGGGGGCATGCTCACCTGCAATAAGCTGTTCCAGGTCCACCTGTGGCTTCTGTTCAGGCTCTGCATGCAACACCAGGAACCCTGAAGCAGGTGGGATAAAGCTGTGTAGTGTACAAACATGAGGTGAGATGGGGTGATAATAATAATAAGGTCTGCTTACCTGTGAACATGGGAGCAGAGGCTCTGACATCATCCCAGCTGCTCTTGAAGTAGAATAGGTTGGTGCTCACTAGGCGGCCCAGCAAGTCAGGGAAGTGATGCATCTGTAGAACACTAGAGTCAAGGGTCAGGGTCCTCAGCCCACCCCAGGCAGGGTCTCCCACAGCACTCTTCTCACCAGGTGCTTGCATGTGGAGTTGAGGAATTCCCCAAAGTGCACACTGCGGCCCTCCTGAAGGTACTTGTGGAAGGCAGCTGCCAGCTCAGCACACTCCAGGTGAGGGACACACATGCACAGGGCAAACTTGCAGGCCTGCGATATAATGAAGTGCTATGCCCAAGTTCTCCCAGGCCTGAGGAAAATCATGCCAAGCCCAGCACCCTTTCCCCTGAACCCGACGATCACTCACACTGGCCACTGAAGCCTGAGGGTCCCTCAGATGCAGTAGGAGTGGCACTAACCCACCCACGACCTGCTCCAGGAAGACATCTTCACAGTTGCCATGGCAAGCCTTGTTGAGGTGCCCAAAAAGACGGATGGATGCAGTCCTGAACTCCACTTTTTCCTAGCAGGGGATGCAGCCATGTCACCACAAGCCCCCTCCTTTTCTAGGGAGACCTGCATGCAATCTGAGCCCCTACTTTGGTACTAAGGATTTGAAAGTGGCTTGTGGGGGTGGGTATGCAATAGTGAGTGTAGGAGGTTGGAGGCTGACACAGAGGATCTGTTCACTGGGGCTGGGGAACCAGGCCCAGCAAAGCAGTACCTGATGTAAACATACATCTTAAAACTCAGCATTCCCTCAGGATGTGTCTGGCATCTGCTATAGGACCTGGCTGAGGGTGGAGATAGGACTGCAGGTGTCCTACAGCTTACACTGTCAAAGAAGGGCCGGATGCGGATGGTTGTGTGCAGCAGCACCAAGCGTAGGTCCCATGGCTCCACTAGATCTAGCAGCCGTGCAAGGCCCACCATAGCTTCCAAGGCCACCAGACTGTGCGGTTCGTCACCATCATCTAGCCCACTGACCATAGCCGTCATGAGCTGGGGGCCATGAGCTCGCACCTAGGAGACCACTGTATTCATCCTGTCCCACCCTACAGGCAAACCCAAGCAGCTGAATGCCCCATGCTGCCCCTTATACTCAGCCATATCTCCTGGGGGCTGGCCCACCTTGTCAGGGGAACCAGAGGCGATGTTGGCCAGACCTCGAAGCACCAGACGCCGTACACTGGCACTTGAATCCTTCAGCCGGGCTGTCAGGTTGTCCAGCAGTGGCTCCAGGAGCATTAGGTCATTGACCACATTACTGCTGAGTAGCTAGAAGCAGAGCCACTCTGACCATTGTGCCAGCTGACCCCCACCAGCCTAGGTCCAAACATTGTAGCCTACAGGTTTCCTGAAATGGGGAAGCTGAGGGGCTCTGACCTTACCTAGGGCCTAACCCTGGCTGATTCCTGGCAGGGTTTTAGTAGGTGGGGCTAAGCAAGCTCTGGCAAAGACTGGGGTTGGTCAAGCTTGTCTGTAGGATATAGCTGCCCATGTTCCATCTCACTGATTCTAAGAAAGCATCTTCTCATTTCGAAACAGAGGGTCCTACCTCAGCCAGGAAAGCAGTAGTCGTGACCCTCTGGATCTCATACACGCTGCTCTGCGTGCACACGAGCGCCTTCATCACCAGAGGAAGACGGGGGCCTGCATACTTTGCCATGGAACTAGGGAAGGAGGTCCCAAAAGGCAGGAGCTGG